CGCTGTTAGATAAATCAAATAGATAAGGCATTGTATAAAATTGCACAAGGTTCAGATTATGTTTGTAGCCTTGACATGTTTGGTAAAAAATTTGGCAACGAGATTCGGATAGAATCTCTTCATAGTACATTGATAAAATGCTACAAGGCAATATTGTCGTGATGCAATTATGCATACAACCATACAAAACAATGTTAATAATTTTTTTGATTCTTGCTTCTGAAAAAATGAAAAGAAAAATCTAAGGCTTTTAACTTCTTTTCTTGATGATTTGTAATTGTAAATGTCGTCTATTATAGGATTACTCTATCAGACTTAATACATTTTTGCTAACACAATATCACTAAAGATCATTCTGAAATCTCTGCATTTGTTGATATACCTGCAAACGCTACTGCTTAGTTTTAGCATAATACTGAACACAAACTAAAAGGTTTGAATACCCATAGCTCGGTACGGTACAGTACCGTATATCGAGCGGTACACCAGGGCGTACCGAGCAGTTTTAAATATTTCTTTCTTTTATTGTAGCACTATAGCACGTTTCGTCCGATAGCGAACAGTCCGCGTACCGGTATGCCATCGGACCGATACGTATCGCTTATACCGGACAATACCATTCGAAATTGTATATCATGCCCATAGCTAACAAAGCGCTCAAATCGATTGAATTAGCAAGAAGACATTATACCAGTAAGACGAACCGCATTGTCAATGAGTCGGTACCATAAACAGAACCTTTGAACATGACCAACTAACCAAATTCCATTTGGTACTTAGATACATATTTAGCAACTTTATTTTTGTGCATCCGTCGTGGTCGATCAGGTCATCCATCTTTAGTTTGTCCAAATGCGTAAGGTCACCAACGCGATCTCTGAGCTGGGTGTACTGAGCTAGAGTCGGGTTGAAGGGCTACGACCTAGGTTCCCACGGATGGAGGTTGGAGATGACTCTTCTCATTGTTCACATAGGTTGACATCGGAAGGGCTTTCTAACTTGACCCCTCCAATGATTAAGTTAGCAAAGGTTTTTGAGGGTTGGGAAGAATGTATGAATGTTTCTTTTCTTAACTTTTCGGCATTGTTCCTAGGATCACTTTTATATTTATTCTTGTGTGTGGTCATACATAATTGTTTTAATGATCCCTAGTCGTCATCATATGCAAGTGTTTAATACCCGTCGTAGAGGATCGACCCGTACGTTGAGCACGGGCATCGTATGATTTGCTTGGTTGGGTCTCATTCGACGCTACCTCCCGCTTCCTATGTGGCTCGGTACGAGGTCATACCGCACCGTACAACCTCGAGCGAGACAAGTGCAAAGGGCCGACGTCATGTGATTGGCTGGCTTCGGACTCGTGATGTTGAGTTGGCACGTTACGTCCGCTTAGGGATGCCATGCCGAGTCCGCTTTGGTAGCCGATGTGTCGTGTAGGATAGATGCCAAAATATACTATATCTGAAGTTAACCCGCAGAATAAACTCCCAAGTTCCTGAATCTAGAGAGTTTGATTTTGACTGCCACATCTACTTGGGGGTTTATGCCCCACAACCAATTCAAAAACAAATGGCTAATCAGTAACTTGTTTTACAATTTATAACTGAACTGCATGATCCTGTAAATGGAGAGGAATTCTTATCATAGCATGAAACATTTTGATAAGCCAAGTGGTGAGAGAGAACAAAGTGTGTTAGAAACTTAGGATGTCTCTGAAAACTGCACAACTTGCTTACAAAAGATTGCAAAGTTGCTAAACTTCATACTTTATGATCAATTAATGAAAGCTGAACTCTCCAACCTAATTCCACAATCTTCTTCCATATACCTTGGATGATGGATGGTTCAGTTGATAGAATTATCAGTCTCCTTTTCGTTCTTTGTGGTTATATTTTCCATCCGTATCAGCCATGTTCATTACAAAATTTAATTGTTCCACAAAAAGTTGTTGATCTAAATCAAAACCACACAGCAGTATAGACAATTGAGAAATGTAAAGAGTGGGGTACAATAACTAAATTTTAAAAGTGATAGCTTTAATCAAAATCACCTCCAAGATCGTAATCCAAGTCTCTGTACTCAATGCTAATATTGAAAATGATATACTAGTTCATGTTGTTTGCAAGTGACAAATTAATGGACAATAACAACAGTGAGAGGCATGCAAAACAAGTCTTAAATGGATTTAAAGCCTAAAACCAGAATCCAAACACAACTTTAGTGCACGGAGTTTAATAAAGGAAGGCAGTAAATATTAGGATTGAAGATATAAATAGGAGAGGAACTACTAGGGTGCTAAATGCGTTTATTCAAATGATGGACCGGTGACTTAAATGGGAACTGTGTTACTATAAGAAAAAAAAAAGAGCTATGAGATAAAGTGTCAATCAAATATAAGCAACGTAAATGAAAGTAGAAAAATAAATTTCATAAATACTAAAATCAAGAAAAAGGAAGAAGTGTGACATGAGCAAATCTAAAGAGCAACAGAACTTACATCAGCTTTAAGATAAAGAAATGAAAGTAAAAAAAAGACAGTGGTTAGGCATGTACATCCATAATAGATTTCTAAACTGTGGAGAACTACCCGGGAAGGACTGAAAAATATAAGAAAATATCGATGCAGAAATGGATCATAATAGGACGACTCGAAAAAAGAATTTTTTTAGGCTAAAACATGTCTAGTTACCATGGCACAGGTCTTTCTGATTACAGCATCTATATAGATGAGTGTGCAATATTAAATAAACATTGCAGTTATATTGTTAGTCTGCATATTCAAATCTCAGTATCTGGTAAAAGCTTTGTTCTTTCCATCCACTCTTTTATACCAAAGCTATATGGGAAGACTTCCAGTCCAAAATAAAGACAGCAAAAGGAATGCAACCAACAATAATGATTTTAATGAGTTCCATGAAGAGGAAGAGTACCAAAAATTTTTGCCTGCTTCTTAAACCATCATTGAATCAAGATAAATAGAAATTTCCCTTCAGTGTTTTTCATGCAGCCAGTTCCTACATAGTATTTCTTTCAAGTTAATGGCATGAGGAAAATGACCCATGGATATTTGAGGGTCACGTTAGCGCCGGACCAACACTTGGGCAGCACCTAGAGAGCCCTGTGTCAACCTCGTCAACATTTAAGGGTGTGACCAGTCGGTACATGTCATTGACAATAGTGTCCGTCCTTCACATACAGATAATGCAAACTACATACGACAAAGTAACTACCCACTAAATGCAAGGGGTTACACATTGCGAATATAGAAGCCCCTTGAGTACTTTGCTTACACTCTCTGAAAGACAATACAAGATTTACCTATTGGACTTGATCATTCTCTAACTTGAGCATCGAAGGGGCATTGTCGGTATGCCCCCAACCTTAGTTCTATAGGTCAAGCAATTGAATCCTCAACCATCCTTGACACTAAATGGACTCATCTCTGATCAATCCGACACCACTCTTGTGAGAAAGGCGATCCTCGACGATAATTGGACTTGTCTCCAATCAATCCAACACCATTCTTGTGACATTTGCTGAGGATGTGGAGAACCAAAACAATATTAATAGCTGATGAAGCAGAAAATTTTACTTGTCTTAGACCTAAACAAGATATTATTCTCTAAGCCTACCTAAGTCGGATCTTATTTCCAACAGAAAGAACATTTCGTGTCACAGACAAAACATCAAACACCCACATTATCTTCTAATTTAGCACTAATACAGTTCCAATGCCAATTTGACAAAACAACAGAAAGAATGCACATTGTCCATGGGGGCTTGAAAAAGTACCATGACAATCACAAAATAGTTGAGGTCTTTGCTGCCTAAAGAAATTGATGCAAACATTCTTTTACATGAGATATAAGTCATTGGACTTGTATTTGCAGTTTAGCATAGACATGAGTGATCATATAAGTGACAGTTGCCTGCATCAATTTACATTAGATCTCAGCCCGCAATCAAATTTGGTTATTAAACATCAAAGCAAGGGGTTGGATGTTTTTCATTAATATTACATATGCATTAAAGGTAGAATGACAACTTGACATACATCACAGCAAGCATTCACAGAACAAGTATTCCCAAAATAAGACTCTACCTCTTACTGGTAATATGGACAAGGAGCATTATCATTGATTAGATACAGCTTGCTTATCCAAACGAATATATGATCCGTTCCTTTTCCATTTCCTGAAGCAACCAGCGTACAACATCAGAATTTGAGACAAGTGTACGAATGGATTCAATCAGGTTATAATTTCCTCAGTTTCTGTCACTACAAAGACACATTTACGACAACAAAGATCAAACAAGTCAGAGAAATAGCATCTGAAATTCATTTATGATGATTAAATCAAATAGGCACCATTAATGCACTAATGACATAATGTCATATGTTTTAACAAAAATGAGAGCTAAGCAAAAAAATGAATACCATTTTATAGCCTTTCAGGCAACCAGTCCTGTGTACTTCATGCATTTTGGTAATGATGCAACTTG